GGTTCAATGTAAATCCGGTTAATCCGTTCCGCCCTTCGAATTTGGTCGCACCCCAAAGCAAATTTTCCTATAAGGTTCAATGTAATTACCGTTAATCTGTTCTGGCGTCCGTGGACCACGCGGCAGGGGCGGGAAAATGGCCAGGTGCCGCGCAGCAGGAAAACGGCCAGGTGCCACACGGTGGGGCAGGAAAACGGCCTGGCGCCGTGCGGCAGGGCAGGAAAATGGCCACGGACCACGTGTCAGGGGCGGAAAATTGGCGCAGACCATGTGTCAGGGTGGAAAAATGACCGTACTCCGAGGCGGAGTTCGCATATCGAGGTAAATTTTTGTGGCCGGAGCTGGTCGTAACCCAAAAAGTTAGTTAGTAGAGGCATTCGTATCCCGAGGTACCACTGTATTATACGATAGTTTGCACACTATGTTAAGTCTCCTTTGTTTGGTACAGGTAGTCCTTGCTTAACAACCATTTCTTTAAGACAGTTAAAAGTTACAACAGCCTCAGAAAAAGTGCTTTACAAACCGTACTTGCACTTTCGACCATCGCAAACTGTCACACCAACCCCTGTGGTCACATGATCATGATTTGTGACATTTACAATGGCCGTTAAGCGAATCACCGCAGTCATTAAATGAATTCCAGCAAAAAACATCCATTGGAGAAGCTGGATTCATTTAACAAACATGTGAATCGTTTAATGACCATGTGATTCACTTAACGATTGTGGTAATTTGCTTAACAACCATAGTAAAAATGGTCATACAATTGGGTCCAGTCATGTGGTGACTCACTTAATGACCACCCTGCTTAACAACCAATTTTCCAGTCCCTATTGTGGTTGTTAAATGAAGAATATCTGTAATGGAATGTAAATTGACCTCTTCTAATCAGCTGGCCACTGTATCATTCACCAGGTTTTCTAGAATAGTTTGGTTACAACTTTTACTAATTCTTCCTTTGTTGCTTGCCATATTTCTGTCAATATTCCATATATTTGTGTAGCCTTCTGACTTGGTAATGACCAGAGTGCTGATCTAACTTCATCTCCTAATACTAGATGTTCTTGTAAGTAGAGAATACAGGTAGTCCTTATGTAACAACCAAAATAGGGACCAGAAAATTGGTTGTTAAGCAGGGTGGTCATTAAGCAAGTCACCACATGACTGGACCTGATTTTACGACGATTTTTATGATGGTCATTAAGTGAATCACTATGGTCATTAAGCAAATCTCATGGTTTTTAAACAAATCCAGCTTTTCCAATGGACGTTTTTTGCCAGAATTAGCTTAACGACCATGATTTGCTTAATGACCATGGTGTTTCACTTAACAATGGTTGTAAAAAAGGTTGCAAATTGTGATCATGTGTCCGCAGGAGGTGGTGTGACAGTTTGTGATAGTCATAAGTAAGAATGCAGGTTGTAAAGCACTTTTTCTGAGGCCATCGTAACTTTGAACTGTCGTTAAATGAATGGTCGTTAAGCGAGGACTACCTATATCTTCTAAGGTATCTTAGATTTGACACCTCTATTGTAGACAATTCAGTATACTTCTTCCATATTTGTTTGATCTCCTTTGAATCAGTTACTATCTGTCCATTGGTGTCCTTTAGCATACCAATTTGAGATCTTTTGGAAGATTTTCCTTGTTTTCATTTCTGTTTCCATCGTCCATGTGTTTATAGATATTATTTGAATACTGCTTCTTGTCTCCTCTAACAGCTCTCTGAAACTCTTTGTTAAGTTCCTTCCTGAAATGTTTGCCATTCTTAGCTTCTCTTCTCTTCTTGGCAACTTCCACAATTTCATTCCACAGTTTTTCTGATTCCTGATTAATGAATGGATGGATGGCAGCTGGAATGACTTTCATGCCTTGGGATGAATAAACTCTTGGCATACACTTCCACTCCCAGCATTCTTCATTTATCTCTCCTAGAAACACTCCCTCTCCCTGCCACAATAAGGCAGCACAGCAGGACTTGCTGTAGGGGAGGGGGAATTGCTTTGATGTTGGCATTATGTTACAACATGTATTATCATTTTGACACTTCATTATTCAGTCATATGTTTGTGGCCTGCAGTTATATCCCTGTCTTTGAAATTAAAGAGAGGTAGCCCTAAAATGTAAATATTGCTGAATACGTATAAGCTACCCATTTGTGGTTTGCCAGATACTGCTGTCATGAATAGCCCTTCCCTACTGATTTGTCAGAAGCAGATAACTAAGGATATTTATTTATTTGTTTATTTTACAGTTTTTGTCTACCACCCAAATCACTAGAACTTTGGGTGGTTTATAACAAAAAGAAAAAAGAAAAAGAAAAGGCATAAAGAAAAAAAGTATGTCACAATCATTAAAAGAAATAAAAATTAACTAATAGCTGCCCAACAACTGTACTATGGGCTGAGGGTTCCTTTTTAAGCAAAAGGAAAGACGTGGAAACTATCCTTCCAAAGGCAGCATATTCCAGGGTGCAGGAACTACTATCAAGAAGCCTGACATTTCATCCCAAGCCATAGATCTCTCGGGGGGCAGTTTCTCAATAGGTGACTGCACTGGATAGCAAAGCATGCTTGGAAAAACAGTCCCTGATATACTATATAAGGTTTTATGGGAAATACCCAGCACTTTGAATTTGGCACAGAAACCTACTGGCAGATAGTGTAACCATAGCCATAGTTTCAACTGGGAAACTCTTAGCATCTTAGACCAAGCTAAATCCAAAAATGCGAGGGAATTCCTGGAAGCTTGGTATT